ATTTTATAAAATTAATGTTGGTTCTCTCATCACTCGCTGGAGCAGTAGTTCTAAGTTTACTGATAAATGTAACCTTGAGCGTTTATATGATTGTAAGCGAGATTTTTCTACAAGTTCACATATTTAACATTAGTACATTGCCATCGCAAACTTTCATTTATTGCAAAAGCACCAGCTCTCTTCATAAATCAGTCATTTTGACCGAAAACGATGGAAAGTGGTATTAAGGTTTAATGGTAGGGTGCAGTAGCCTTAGGCAATAAAGACTGACTGCGTTGGGTGGGCGCTCATTGATACTTTTTGCTATATCACTATCATATTGATTGATAATTACATACAAATAAATCGGTAGCTTGTGGTTCTATGTGTTTTGTAATTATAATCTTTCGTTGAGTGACAAAAGTTATAATCCACAGGGGTTGTTTGTAAGGTACGCGTGAGGTTTAGACAAGAGGTTACGTTCCATAATCGTGGCGTTCTAAACAATTCATTTTTCACTAACGAAATGATTCAGTTAATTAGATTAGTTTTTATCTTAGCCTCCATATGCCACCAGAGCAATAGATATATAGAGTACAATATAAACTTCCTTACTAGCTGCCAGATATCATTAAGGAAACGCAACCCTTTTCGGGTATATTCCGTCCAGTCCTCATCATTTTCATTCTCACACTGGAAGCATTGAAGCCGAAGTGTTAGAAGCCACAAGCAATAAACAATTGAAGAAAAAGCCGACCGGGTGAATCACACTCCTCCTGAACGTGACCGTTTATTAATCTCATGAAACTTGTGCCGTAGGCAAATTTGAGTTTAGTAAAAAAAGGGTCGCATGGCCATAGTACACCGATCGCAGGCTATCGTGCGAGCGTTTCAAGCCTATTCACGCAGGCAAACTTCACAACGAAAATAGCGCTATGAAGCGAAACAGCGGCGGCAACGTTTTAGCCTGTCGACGCTGCTACGACCTCCCCATAATCGTTTTATGTGAAACATTCTTGCCTCTGTTACGAAATACACTAATCCTTTATAACAACAGTTAACCCGCCCTCTACAAATCACTGATTGGCAGACTACTATATAGTAAATTTACTACCAGCACGATGATTCTTTTATTTTGTGAATTTCGTCTATAAATGTAATCAGCGTCATAAGTTCCTGCGGTGATTTAGAAACTAATTGTTCCCACGTTTTGTCCATGTGCGCACCGTAGAAAATGCCAGCCACAGCGAATCCGCCACCGACCGATTAACCGCAAAAGGACGACTAGCACATATAGGCGCTGTCCCCGTGGAGGCATAGTGGGCAACCTATTTTCATAGTAATTTTTAGCATACGCTAGGGCGTAGGTCCAGACCCGGGCATAAACAGCCGGTTCGTTTCGTGATTGCTGGGAGCCAGCTAGGCGTCTGTCTGATACAATGCCCAACGACGATATCAGACGTAAACTCGAAAAGTAACGCACGCATAAAAGAAAGGGCACAAACTAAGAAAAAAGCCTCACGCCAAGATAGCGTGAACCTTTATTTTCTTACCAGCAGGCTGCTTCTTCGACGACTCATGGACGATTTCCGCTAATTCCGACATAAAGCAAATATACCAAAAAGCGTTATGAATTTGCATCTTCAGATGTACTGAACTGTGTGCCGCAGACGCAAGTCAATCCGTTTGTTGTTACTCGTAGTTATTAAGGACGGTAATAATTATTAGATAAGAAGCAAGAAAGAAATGGAACATGGGATACAGGGTAATGGAAAGCATTTAAATAATGCTGCATAAGTGGCCACGCCGTTTCAACGGGGCATTAACTAGGCTAGTTAATTGATGGACGCTGTGTCGTAATTGACGTACGCGTAGTAAATCGTATGAATAAGGACTAGTTACTATTAGATAAGATCCATAGATATATATATATGTAAGATAAGACAGAGGGGAAAAAAAGAGACGGAATGCAAGTAAGGTTCGAGAGAAAAGAGAATCATTTCGATGGCAAAAGAGTGTTCTTTCTTGGAAGTGTTTTCCAAAATAATGTTGCTTTATATGATCGTAACAGAGATTCTGGTCGTTATTCATACGATCTTACTTACATCAACTAACTAACTAACTTAGTCATTGCGTACCTTCCAGTTCGTTGAAACTGGCGTGGCCATTGTAATTTTCCCATTCACTTATGTAGTATTATTCAATTGCTTTCTATTAGCCAAAAAAATTCTGCTATACAACTGTGTAAACAATTTTGTCTAACCTATCTATCTGGTTTGCCACAGCTGTCGTTGATACTGTCATCGATGCATGGCGGGCAATACGAAAATTATCAATGAGGTTTGAAACTGTTGTGTTTCCCACCGTTACGCTATCACCGTTTCAGGTCTAAATGTATTAGATAGATGATCCTTCTCCAGCAGGATCGGTGCTTTCCAGTTGTAGGGCCGAAACCGAGACAGTCCTGCAAGTATAATAAATGCAACGAGACAGCTCAGAGTGTTGTGAATCTGTTGTCCTTCTCTTGGCAAATCAGGCAATGATCGCTGCATCAGCAATTTAACATGAACGGCACCAGCGAGATGGTGCTGAGGTAACAGTGAACGACACGCATTGATGACCCCACTGAGTTGTCGGTCGAATTCGGCCGATCCGTGTAAGCCAGTCGCCCAGGCAATGAATAGAGACGGACAACGTGGTACATTTCAGTGTATTAGAAGGATAAAATGCGACGATAATGCAAAATAAATCGAGTTTATGGGTTCAAGAGCGTTACGAAGTGCAATTTTTACTTATATATTTCATATACTGTGAAGCGCAGGTGGTGGATGCCTCTAACGTGCGTCACATATTATTAGCTTGATATTGATTCTCAACTTTCTCAAGTTTGTTCGCTAAATCTGTCGGAATACGAGCGAAGTGTTATAGAATCTCTTTTGAATAACTACGCTCGACCGCCCACCGAAGCTATGTGCTAGCAAAGAATGCTTAATTCGACGTCACCGTGGCTTGGATCCCCTTGGTTGCATTTGCTGACGTTGGGTCGAAAATCTGCATCTCACGTTTTTCTCGTTTATCTTGCTTAGTGTCCTTTGAGCCGCGATTCGGATTTGTTCTACTCTGTATCGCCGCCGCACGACATGCTTTCGCGCTTTCTCTTCTTTTTTGCCCTTCTCCTTCTTGTGCGCTCCCACGCTAGCATCGGCGGTGGCAAACAGGCCATCGTTACATCGGCCAACCATGACCGACGGAAAGGGGTTTGGACAAACTGTCTCTGTCTGATCATCGTTCGAATGCCGAGCGCGTTTCAGGCACTGCAAAAACTCCTATAGCCACTGTATCTGCCTAGCGGCGCGCACAGTTTGTGATGGCGCTTTCGTCGTCTAGTGCTTCGGCATCACTGGCTTTTGGAGCCACTAGTCACATTCTGTAAAGGCGCGAGAATCCTCGTCACTAGCAATGTGTAAACATCGTTTCTTAAACATTACTAGTAAATAGAAAGCTTTGCCACAGTTACCGAATACCGCTAGTCTTACAAACACCATTCACTTTAGCGCCAGCCGAATCGGGCGCGCTACATCCTTACGAGTGTCACATACGAGACAGAAGAGCTCAACAGCAGCTGTGAAAGGTCTGCTGTCTCCAGTCAAATCAAAAGCAAAGTGACCTAATCGCATTGCGTAACTGAACTGCATGTAACTAAGTGAACTCGTTTCAAAATACCGTAGCAGGTGGCTACTGGTATTTGTTGAGGCCAGGGCATTTGTGTTGTGGTGGCAGGGTACTTGTCAAGCTGAGTCTCGTCCTGCTCCTAATCCGCCTTCTCCTTTCGCACCAACTATTCAAACGGCTGCAGCGGAAGGATTTGGTGCCGCCTAGCTAACGGCGACGACGATGGTGCCATCTGCTCCACTAGCTTCAATTTGGCGTTGAAGTATTCAATGGTGCACGAACACCACTTTCTATTAAAACCACTTCTTTCCATACTTTCCCGCCATTTTATTAGTTACCTCGTCTGGCAACTGTATAGTGTATCATCATCGTTGCTGTCTCGAACGTCTCCGAGCCACAGCGGTTCGGACCCTGCCTCCATCGCCTTCGCTCGACCGGCCTTGTCGTTCCCTGGTGCGCTTCGAAGTAACAGTTAAATGTATTTCGCTTTGGGAGAAAGATCCAAGTACTACGTTGTTGGGCCGTAGAGGCAACAACAATCGATGAGCGATTGGCAGACGTTGAACCAATAGCAGTTGCTTAAACTGACATAACTTTACTTACGAGGGTTACTTCTGGAGAACAACAGCTGGGGAGAGTAGAGACTGGTCACAAGAGCGTGCGTACGTACGAACGGGGCATCACAACGCTTTCAGCCTAATCACCAGCACCATCAGTATGTTAGCATGATCATTATCATCTAAAAGCAACCGCGACAGTTTGTGTGATTATAGCAGCAGGAGTATGAGGCAAATCGTAAGTGATCTGGCAAGTGGAGAGTGGGTATCAGGTAAGAAGCGCTCTGTCGTATCCTGTATGTTATTACTACCATATTCAGCTGATCGCTGGGGCACGCTCGGTTTGGTTGATTCGGGTCGACGCTAGTAGTAATAGCCGTGGCGGTGTACGCAGATACGCCGCAGCAAACAACGTTAATATCAGCGTCGTCGCCGTTGTGCTCGATGCGATCTATTACATGCAGTTTCAGACCACGACCGTTATTACCAGCAGCGCCACAAGTATCTGGTGGCAGTAGCCATCTGCCATCAGCAGACTGCCAATAACCGTTGTCCAGCTGCTACTACCACGGTGGGTTACTTGCCGACTGTCTAACGGGAGTTGTGCCATTGCCAGGTTGCTATAGTTGACAATATCGTTGCCTGACGCCAGGTACCGTCACCGCTCTGACTACAGATAGTCGGTGGCAACGCTTCTACCGACTTCATAACTCGACGGGCAGTAGCTGGTCCGTTCGTCAGCTCATATCATAACAACAACAAGCTTCAGTGCAGTGCCGTGATCGACAGAGTTGGAAGGTCGCGCGAGGTTACCATTAGCCGTCATACGTACAACGGTGCGATGATACGCTTGTAGTGTTATTGTGTGCTAATAACAACAAAAACGACACGGGAAGCAGTATCGCTAGTTGTTGCCCATTTAGCGCTCTCATACTGTCGCTGCTGTAAGACAGTTAGTAGACGACGATGCAGCTCGTGCGGCATAGGTACCATCTCATACAACGGATACGGCTTCCTTTTCTAACGTTGTCGCGCGACTGTTGATTGGGTCGTCTTTGACGTGGTGGAGAAACAGTAGAAGCGAAAAAACGACAAGCGAATCAAGGGGCAACCAGATTAGTTTGCAGTGATCACGACGACGATAGCATTTCCAATAATGAGTGTGGTGATTCCGTTGATAATGATTATCATGACGATGAGTCCGTGTGCACCGATTGCAGATGCGCGGAGGAAGAAGATACGCGGTACTATAGTGGCGACTGCTGTAACTGACAACTGATTGGGTGATCGTTACCTGCAAACATCCAACCTCCGCTATGATCGACCAACCCCCCAAAAGCGCTACCATTCCCATGTGCGTTTAACAATAGTTGCTTCGAACAGTTCAGCAGGGTAGCGTTAGTTGAAATGATCATGACTAAGAGCACAAGTTTCCATTGTTACTAGGTATTAAACAAATATTGCTTGCCTATATTCATCCGCTGGCTTGACCCATAAGTGAAAACTTCAGCAGCCTCCTGACACAGTCTTCCTCCGGGCCAAGTGTGCCTCGAAAATCTTCGTCAATAACCAGTGTGTGCTAATGGCACTAGCATACGTGATGCTCATCAAGTGATCGGATTATCGTACTTAATACCATGACATGCGACACCTATGGATACGGATTAGCCTATAAAAGGAGAGTCTAGTTAGGAAAAGTATTTTCCTCAGAATGCTTATAGCTCAGAACTTTAGCAAGTTAAGTGTTGCTTGTGGCTGAATGACCTATGCTCCGCATGAATTCTACGACGAACCATTTAAAGTGGGCCAGGCTCGGTGATACGGCGTGTATGGAAAGCTAAGAAAAACTTCAATGTAAAGGCGAAGCAAATGTAATGGCCCAATGGCCTCGATAAGGAGTCGCGTCACAAGTCGTGTATTTGTAGAACCTGAAAGCGGCCATACGCACTATTCTACGGTCATCAGGTAGAGTAGATCACGAATTCACAGCTAGCCTAAATGGTTTAATAGAACTAACCAAATTATCGCCATTACCAAACACGCTATCGTTAATTCCTACATGTAAATTACCATACGAGGTAGTTTAGCTGTTAGGAGGAGTAAATTTCGAGAAAAGTGACTCGAAAAATGATGCTCCAATGTGCGTCAGGCTACGTGAAAGGTTAGCGCAGGTGACTCTCGTGAGGGGCGATAACTCCTCACAGAATTTCGGTTCGAGCCGATATCTAACAGTACATAACAATTTATTGGAAATTTACGCAGAGTAGTAAGTTGATCCCGTATTACGCTTACAGTTTAATTATATTGCAGTGAAGTATTAACTATTGTACAGGTATATCGACGTTTTATTCGGAATTCGACAGATAAAATTTGTTCCACAATAATGCTAGAGAATTGGAGTACATAAGAACAATTATGTGTATTAGGTGAGGAAACCGCTTATTGAAAAAGATTAAAAGCTCTATGCGTCGTTCGGAGGGGGGAAACGGTCATACCTCAATTTTTACAGAGAAAGAGGTGTCAATTCCGATAACATACCTCCAAACAATAGCGTTTTTTAACGCATATCATTTAGCGTTATACTCTTGGAACTTATCCACGCTCGCACATATCCATTCTCCGCTAAGTAAGTTAACGCTATCCTTCTAATGCAATTAGGCGATTTGTCTGTAAAGAGATTTCTAACAACGATAAGTTCATCGAACTTTAAAAATAAAAAAAAAGCCTCTTAACGATTGTATTTTCCAGTACACATGACTTTCTAACCGAGTGATATAATACGTTGACAGTTCAATGATGATATATTGGCATTTTTTAAATTGACTATTGCAGCTTGAGATCTATAAGTAAGGTGAAGAGGTCAACACCTGTCTTGAGTACGATATCCAATAGCGATTTTTTCGCCTTATTTTAGCGCAGGCTCTAGCACGACAAAGCCTAAAATTCACTGAGTAAGGTTAATTATATTGTCACTACATACGGTTGGCCCCAGGCAGGTTCTTGCCATTTGCCCTCATATGATATTCAAATACATAAAAACGACAATGTGGCTAAAAGCGAATCACGATAACTGGTGATCTGTCGCGATGAGATATACGTATATATGTATATATATATATATATACATATATACATATATGGAGGCTTTTTAGCCGAAAAAGCTTCGTTTAGACTTTATTCTTCAGCAAGCGAAACCTATTAATCAGTTAGGCGGACTTTTTCAATCTTGATTGTTGAAAACAAATGCCATCAACCATCATTGTTCTTTTTCTCATGAACAGCGACCCGGCACAATTTGGTAGAAGCAACTTACAAGTTACTTCACGTTATCTAAGCACCAGCGCCTCTAATGAGGTGGCTATTTTCGAGAGGTTCTTCGTGCCGACGCGTGACAGCAGCCGCAGCGGAAGGCACCAGTAGGCAACGGTTACGGACACTCAATATGATGGCAATGGCCATTAGCCTTCGGTGAAGACACACGAACCAGAAGACATGAAACTCGCATATCAGGCGCTCGTAGAAATTATCGTAGCGATTGTTGTCTGGTATTTTCGGCTTGCTTCGTTTGTCACTGGTTCCGTTGCCGCAGCAGTCGCTCGTGCCGTTTACTCGTTGAGTCGGCGACGCTCAGTTTAAGCGACGCTTAAACTACGGCGGCGAATTCTTCCAAGCCAGCGGCAACAATGATTCAGGTAACACTTTTTAGCTTATCTGAATATCGACCAACTGTCGAATAAACGACTATTCTATTGTTGGAGTAATTGAGCGAAATCAATACGCTGTAACAGCTGTTATTGCATAGGACGACATTGATAAATGGCGGTAACGACCATATTATTATCAACAGCTCTAGTCGGACGCTCGAGATCCGCTGCGCATCCGTCGTTCAGTCGACACTTTCACTATAGCCAATAAATGTGGAGATGATACAAGCCCCTCTTTCCGGCTTTAGCCCAGGTATAAGCTATCGATTCGACCCCTATATACATACATCATCCAGTTTGCTTAACATTTTATTCTACATCATCCATCTTCGTCCGACATATCTTCATAAACGACGAACGCCCAGACCGAGACAGGAACGTTTCCCATGATGTGTCTGCTTCAATTTTGCTGTAACAGTAAGTCTGATGTGGCAGTTACCAGACCCAGTAGTGGCAGAACTAGCGAGCGCATTGTTTTTCTTTCATTGATTCAGCGTAAGCTACAGAAGTGGCCGATACGTCCCTGTTATTGGCGATACACTGTGCTTTTCCTCACGCTTTGTGTCAATAGAATATCTGGAGAGCCACTTGATTTGATTTCGATGACATCGGCAGATCAACCTGTCATGTGGTAGAGCCGTTGTGAGACTGAATTGTCTAGCAGGAGAAATCAATTTTGTCAATTTCTTCGTTTTACAGAAATGCTTTTGTGCTAAACTATTTTTGCCGTTATCAAGTAAGTGGGGAAAGGCGACGGAACAGGGTTTCTCGAAGTGACGCTGGATGATGTATACGAGTACCGTGTTTTTTCTCTACATGTTCTTGTAACGATTTGAGAATGTTGAGTTTTTTTTTTGCGCATATGTAATTACATATTAGGAGAAAGGCTTAGTTTTTAAAAGCCGGTAATATCATTACTTTGACAATGTGATATGACATCACAGCTTATAACATCCAACAATTGCTTGAGGGTCTAACTGTATCGCCCAAGGCTGTTGTTTACCGCACACGTACATTCTCATCACAAGCAATAGCTTTTATCCGTCCCGTGCATAAATCAAGCACATGTAACAATGCGTTAAGTCTGTGAGTATTCTAGGCGATAAAATACTTGTATTATTATCCTATGATTGCATTTTCTTAACGAATCAACCCCTGGCTTCGGTCCGTTCGTACTTGGCCCACCCATTTCTACGGTCTACTTTAGTTTTCGTTTCGGTTATTTCTCCGTTAACGCTCTTCAAATCGTTTTGTTTACCCAGCGTAAAAAGGTGGCGCTGGCTGTTCGTGCCAATATCAGCCTTCCCTAATGATAAGGTTCTCGTTCGGCGTTTTCTGCTTCGCCGAGTCCTCTCAGACGCTCACGAAGCATCGTTGTTGTAACTGTTGTCGATTGTTCTGTCTTACGAAACCATTACGAGTCGTCCAGCTGTCATACGCATAGTAAGACAGAATAAACATTTGCCTCGGCTGTGCATATGCACTATGTTCATGCATGTATCGACCGTAGAGCATCGATAAATGACAGCCAACCAACAGGAGAGCGGTTCTATAGCCTGCTGGCTGGGCCAAAGGCCAAATGCAGCAGAAGTCAGGCACTAAAGCGAAGTTCTTCTTCTCGATCAGTCTAAATTCGTCCGTTCATCCATCGTCGCACTGAGCTATAGCTGCAGCAAAAATGTGCAGTACGCGCTCGATGTTGCTACGGCCGTTGTAGCAACAACCCCGTTACAACGACAATTCGCTCCATTGTTGTTATGCTTAGGTCATATGCGTACAGGTCGTGACGGATCCGCGTATAGTTAAGAAACTCCGTCCAAGATGTTTACATCTGTACGTGCAGTAGCCAGCTGTAGGGTACTAGCAACGTTTGCACAGTTGCCCTCAAAGGAACGTTTCTTTTTCCTTTTTTAATTTTCTTCGTCAGCTGTTACTTTTAACTTACTTGCCACTACAAACCTTTCGCGCGGTGGAGTTGTACAGCACCGTTGTAACCGTCGACGATGTTGGAAACAGCTAATTCTCCCATATTGTGAAGAGGGAGTAAGTCGTAGGGCAAGGTTGATACCGTGACAATGTTTGCCGTGCAGTCATTCGTTCGTTGCCACCGCCCCAGGCTTGTCAAGTCGTCACACGTAACGGCTCTGCTACCAACCACAGCATTACGATCTTATTTGCTATTGTTATTTTGAAAGAAGATAAGACCAGGAAACGTTACAAGCATTTGGAAATGCTGGCGAATCTGCAAGCTCATACGGACTAATTGGTACATATTCATAATTAGCTGCACACATGAAGGCATGCAGAAGTTTCTGTGTGCTGTTAAAAGAAACAGCATAAGAAAAAGAAACGGTACTGCGCGTTAAACTAAAGTGTTCTATATATGAGCATTTGTTCATATAGCACATATAGCGCTTGTGGCGACATACAATCATAGAGCTGAGTAATCGTTTTAACAATACGCGACACGTACATTAATAAATCTTCCATCCATGAAAGCCATCGACTCTGTAGCACGTTACTCGCGCCTGTTATGATTAAATAAATTAGAAAAAAAAATGATGTCATGTTTTTGTTCTGAGTCCATCAACGACATCGATGTTCCACCACACGCAGGCCACAATGTTCACCCATACGCATATGGGTCGCCGCATACGGAGAACTTTTTAGTTTTATAACTTGTCTTGGTCTTGATGTCAAGTAGTATAAGATACACTCTATAAAGATTTTCGGTTTCCTGATTGGTTGCGATGTGATTCACACGTCCATGCAGTCCGAACTATTCCGATAGGTCTATAGGCACCTTAAGCAACTGACCGAACCTACGCAGCCCAGATCGTCTCCGAAGACACAGCGAAAAAATTCATCTCTGTCACTATCTCGCCAACGACGTTGCTTTTTTCTTTCCGCTATCGTTATTAGGGGGAACTTTTATGTATCGACGACACATATTGGACATGTTGTCGCGCGGTTGGGTGATCGTTTGTAGAAAAACGATGGAAAATTTAAAATGTTGGGGGTCGTTGCCGTTGTCATATGCCTGAATGTTGACTGTGTGCAGGCAAATTGTACACGTATGGAACAACGAAAAAAATCGGCCACAGCGTCACCAGCAGCACCAGGGCATGCTTGCCCGTCTTGACATCGTTCCACCTTATCAATACCAGCATCAAACAAATAAAGCCCTTCGAATAGCTTTCAACCATTGCCTGAAGGTTTTCACGTGTTCCCCAAAAGAAACTGTGCTTGATTCTGCCCTTA